GTTCTTGGGACAAATGTCCACAGCACACCTGGCTACTGCAGCCCAGATGTAAACTCTGGGAAAGAGGGTTCGTCCAGAGAGCTGAGATTCAGTTTGCCTTCTTGGGCAGGTGTTAAGAAATTTAGATTTGGGGCCAACAGATGGTGGAGTGACTACGCTGCTGGACTCTTACATGGCTGACCAGATCCAGTGGCTTAAAACTCATGCCTGGTGCGTGTATGTGCATGCCCAAGATCCCAAGAGGAGAATGGAGAAGGGACTGTGGCGTGGCCATTCCTCCCGGGGGTAATTTTTCACTTTCTCCTCCCACTATCTCTGTCTCTGTCTCTCGGATGAGCACATGTGCCCTATTGCAAAAAACTCTAAAAAAAGAAGAAGAAACAGAAATTCAGACTAGTCCCAACCAGAAGTGCACCCCTTTCTGTCTTAGGAATCAGAAGAATTGACAGACCCCAGTTCTTTATCAAAGAGGGGATTGAGGGAGAGTCCCCTAATCCCGCGAGCCAGGGATGGCTCTGTGGGAGTGTGCCTGTGGAGGGACACGCACTGCTCAGAAGGGTCCATGCTTAGTCTAATGTTCTGCCGTGGCTGTTCCTTGAAACTCTTCATAATTCTGAGCATGCACTCCATGATTCCATCCTGCACTGAGACCCACAAACCAGGGAGCCAGTTCCACCCACACTGTCTCCAAGACCCTCAAGAGAACTCACCCCTTGTGGCCTACATGGCCTGGCTTGGCCGTAGTGACAGCGTCATGCCCAGCTCTGACGAGCAGAGTGGCCACGCTTGCTGCCAGCCTGTCTTCATCTGCAGAAAACAAAACTCCCACGGCCTTTGCAGTGGCGCTCAGGGCCATGTGACCGTGGCCCTTGGACAGCAAGACCACACTGGGACAGGGAGAGAAACAAAGAGCCTGCACAAGGGCGCACTGAGTGCCTGCTGCTGCTTCCACAGGGCTGGCCCTTCGCATCCCAAAGGAAGCGCTGTCCTAGGTGGCCGGGGTGAAGAGAAGCACTCGTCGTCTTGGTTACTGTTTCAGATGCTCTAGAAATCATCCCAACGTAACAGAGACTGCATTTTGGTGAAAAACGGCCATTTCAAATTTTCCCCTGACTCCTGGACAATGTCTCCCTATGTGTCTGAGGTGTCCCAGCAACATAAAAAGTCCGTACGCCAGTGTCTGGACACAGCAGCACTGACACCGCCGTATACTGCTTAGAATTCCACCTCCAATCGCATGAGGCATGAGGGCAGTGTGGACTAGTGTCAGTCACCTCAGATTTGACTCCTGCTGCTTGGGGCTCATGGGCAGGTAAGTTTCTCTGGTCCCCTTTTGAGCCTCGGCTCTTGCACACAAAATGGGGAAGTGGTAGCTGCCTTCCAAAGCTGCTGTGCTAAGCAGAGAAAAGAGCTGTGAAGCCCCTACCAGTCTTGGGTGCACTGTAAGTTCCCAGTAAACGGCAACAACCAGGCCTCCCTCTGTAACAGGCAATGTTAACAGGTAGTTTCACCGTTTGCTTTGCTCATTAGCTGAGTGAGCTTGGGCAGGCCTCTCACAGGCCCGAACCTCAGCAGTGAGAACAGTGCGTTCCCACCTAAGCCACAGGTGGAGTGAACCGAATACCGTCAGGGGCACAAAGGCACTCAACCACCTGTTCTCTCCAGGCAGGCTCCTGTGCCTCGTCATCGCACTCTTCTGATACCAGACCTTTCGGGATTATTTTATTGATTTACTTATTGTGTGTGTGGGGGGGGCCACCCTGACAGCCTGCTGAGCTCCTTCCACTGCAGCCCCCCAGCCAGCAGGGTCACAGGCTCACTGCTGAGCCTGGCGTGTTCAGGTCAGTCTGGGATCCGAATCCTGGCCTCGTATGGTTCTGGTATTGCACAGTGGTGCCTTTCCGCCTGCACCACCATGACTGGGTCTGATGCAAGCCCTTTAAAAGAAGTGGGAACCTTGAGCACCAAGAAGCCAGGGAAGGTGCTGTAGAGAGGGGGCTGGCTTCAGAACCAGAAAGCTCCGGCTTTCAATTCCCGCTGTGACCCAGACTGGCTGTGCACCTTGGGCAATTAATTCTCCGTGCCTCGGTGTTTCTCAGCTGTCAACATGAATAATGTTTCTCTTTCTGACACCTGGACAGCATCCCCCTATGTTTCTGGAAGACAGGGAACCAGGCAGGGAGCACAGAATTTCCCACGGCCTGGTTCGTTCCCAGTGCCTTTTGAGACTAAATGCGTTTGCTCCTTGGGTTCCACAAGGGACACTGATAATCTCATGATTTTCCTTCTTCATTTAAGGCAACATAAATTTGTCCTCAGCTTGTCACATCCAGAAAGAGCTCTGACCACATGCTCTTATTATCAACAAACCAACCATTCCTTTGACCTTCCTGCTTTCTAGATAATTTATCATAATAGTTGCTTGTCACTTTTCCTTAAAAAAAAAAAAAAAAAAAAGAACTAAATATAGAACTGCAGATGCTATCTGAGCATTAATTTCTGGGGTTTCAAAATTCTTCTAGTAATGTAGCCACAACTGTTGTTGCTATTTTTTTAAGCCACGTTGTTTAGTCACACTGGGCCATTGAGCCACTAGAACCTGCTGGATGTTTTCTTTTTGCTATCAAATTGAGTTTGCGATATCCTACAACTATTCTGAACTAAATATAAGATACTCATTCTGATGATTTCAAGCCAGCTCGATTGTAAAAGTATTTTTAAATCTTGGTTTTCCTGCTTTACAAAATAAGCTGTTTGTCCAGCTCTGTGACCTTCCCGCAGTTGATAAACAGGTCTTCCATGAGTTCAACGCAAACCAATAATAAACACAGACAGGAAACACGGGCTCTCCATCGAGCCCTCGCTCTGGTGGACGTTATCAGCACTCTTAGAAAGCATGTCCACTCAGCTACAAATCCACCCACTATGCTGCTGTCAACCCACACTGTTTGTCTTAGGCACAAGGATGTCACTAAACTGTCGAGCCTTCCTGCAAGCTGGTGTCTCTGTGCATGTTACGTATCCTTGATCCGACAGCCCAGCCTCCTTTTTCATCTCTCTTCCATTGTGCCTATTTCTCCAAGTAAATGCTCCTCGTTTAGGTGAATTTCTTGCATTGTTCTTCAGCTTTCCTGACATACAGCACTAAACATTCCAGCCAGAGTCCACAGCTTTTACTCACGTTATTGGTGTGCTCTTCCTGTCTCTAACTATTGTAACCATAAGGTTTTAATTTTTTTTTTTTTGGAGAGATTTTTGCTATAGGGCATGTGCACTCGCCAGACAGACAGAGAGAGACATAGAGACAGAAAGCGAGAAATCACCCCCCAGCGGGGGATGGTCACGCCGCAATCCCTTCTCCTCCATTCTCCTCTCGGGATCTTGGGCACGCACACGCACCCGGCGTGAGTTTTAAGCCACCGGGTCCGGGACGCGAACCACGGTCGACTACGTGGGAGTCCAGCGACATAGACATTACGCTAACTGCTGGTTCCCAAGGTTTTAATATTTAACACCCATTTAGATTGAATAATCACTATAACTGATCGGAAACATAAGTATATTGCAATTTTTAACAATTATCAAAAATGAAAGTTTATTGGAAGTGCCTTTCAATAAGAGAAAGCTTTACCCCTCATTATACATATGTGAAATAATATACTGCTAAATAGGACAGGGATAAGCATCCGTTATATGGATCAGTTTCAGGAATATAGAGATTTAAGCACAAAAAAAGTATTCACATGAATAAGAAGATGGGAATGGCAATTTTGTTCTATGAGTGCCTTTTGAGATAAATACTCATTGGTAATGACTTATTATCTGACTTGATTAGACCTTCTTTCAGGTTTGTTAAAAGCAAAAAAAAAAACTTGGAAACAGCCCATCATAGGAAAGGATGTTAGTCATTAGAACCCTTCACTTTCTCAATTTCAAGCCATAGTTTTCATCTTCCCTGTGTTGTGGGGGCAGGGAGCACTGTAAGGTTTGGAAAGACAGGAGGTAAGCCTGTGTATTGTAAAGTGGGCAAAGGGCAATTGTGAAGGAGGCTAAGCGGGTGAGAGGATCCAAGGAGGAATGTGAGAAGACACCAGAAGACCCCTGCTGGGGCTTAGCCACATTGCTTTCCCTAGAACCAGGGATATACTGACTTATCTCCACCTCGGCCATTGTTAGTGCTGATCAGTGCCAAGAGGATATACCCATATGTTTGAAGGTCTCTACAATATTTCTGTTTCCAATCAGATCCTTTTAAGCATGGAAGAGAACGCTCTCTTACTGCCCTTCTACTTTCTGAGCAATGGAACTGTCAACAAAGCTAGCCAAAGTTGCACTGCATGGTCTGTGTCTACTGGCGGAGCTCTGTGGGTGATCAGCAGAGAGCTCCCCATCATGTCTCCTGCCTCCGTGCCAGCATTTGCACCTGTGTTTTTGGCGCCCATATGTAATTCCTGTTCCCACCCCCCATAACCTTGGCTTGGCACACAGGTACACATCTTTACCTCGGTCATCTATATCCATTTAACCTGGATACGACATCTGTGCTCTTCATTGCCGTAGAGTCATCCACCCCATCTCACCAAATCAGAATAAGTGGATGGCTTTCTTCATATTTTACAGAGAGGAAAAGTCAGATTACCCAAGGCACAGAGTTAGTTGCAGAAAATTAGGGAAGAGAGTCAACTGTCTTAGATCCCTGCTATATACTTCTTCCTGATCACATCCCTATCAATCTAAGATGATAATGTTTTAAAACACCCAGGGCACAATGTCACACTGAGCATGCTTTACATAGCAATGCACAGTGGCCTGTTGATCAGAGCACTTTAACAAGTCGACCTGAGACTTCAAATATACAACACAGAACAGGCTTAGGAACATGTTGAATTAGAAGACAGAATACAAACTCTTAAAGAATTCTAAGTCTCAAAAGTTAGCAAAAGCCAAAGACTGATGACCAATGCTAATTAAGTGCTTGTATAAGCTGGGTGAGAACTTACCGTGTCCCCGATTTTCAGGCCCTCACACTTCCTCTGACCAGGGTAGGATACACCATCTTGGCAGGTAGCGGTGAAGAAGAGATTAAGATCCTCAGGCTGATCCCAGACGGACAGCTCCACTTTGGACCGAATACTCTGAAGAGATGGGAGAATGATGCCCAAACCGCTTAGTAAAGATTACAGCTGAGGAGCTCCCCATGCTGCTGTGTTTATACCCATGTGGCTTCCTCAGACTCAGGACTCCCCGGTCAAGCAAAGAGCAGTGGGATTGGTTACTGCCCCTCCTTTCCCTTCTCTCATCACCCACACACAAATTGCTCGAACTGGCCCGAGATCTACTTCTGTGAGTCTAGAGGCGTTAAATCCACCTGCCATACAATATTATCTGTGGGGGTGTGCTCTGTCCCCTGCTTGCCTCAACAGGGCTCTCCCTCCTCTCCAAGCTGAGCTTCAGACATGCAGTTCCTCAAGTCTTGCCAGGTGTGCTCCACACGTGGGGCTCTGTGTATCTCCCAGGGTACTGTTTCTTTACCCAGGGGCACTTCTTTTTCTCTTCCCCTGGCTAGTTCCTTACCCCCAGAATCAGATCAGTGGGCACTTTCTCCAGGACCTCCCCCACATCATTCTTCATACTCACGCCCATCCCCCATCAGATGAGATCCAATACATGAGTCTGAAACCCAAAAGAGAATCACGAGAGAAATCTGTATATATGGGGACCAGCAGTTAGCGTAATGGCTATGTCGCTGGACTCCCATGTAGTTGACCACAGTTCAAGTCCTGGACCCGGCGGCTTAAACTCACACCAGGCGCATGTGCATGCGTGCCCAAGATCCCGAGAGGAGAATGGAGGAGAAGGGATTGCGGTGTGGCTATCCCCCCTGGAGGGGTGCTTTCTCACTTTCTATCTCTCTGTCTCTGTCTTTCTGTGGGGAGCACACACGCCCTATAGTGAAAACCTCTCAAAAAAAAAAAAATAGAAAAAGAAATCTGTATGTATGGATTATGTTCTCAAGACAGAATTACCCATCAGAATAAAATACATTTAAAAAGACTGAAAATATCACATGTCGGAAAGGATGTAGAGCAACTCCTGAACTGGTCCAAACCCTTAGGAAACCATCAGGCACCATCTACTGAAGCTCAGGCCAACCTTAGACCTAGCGTTTCCCCCTTAGGAAACCATTAGGCACTATCTACCGAAGCTCAGGCCAACCTTAGACCTAGCGTTTCTCCCAGGATTACACCCAACAGAAATGTGTCTGTCATCAAAAGACACAGACGAGAATGTTTACAGCAATACCCTTTATAACAGCTAGAATCTGGAAACCACCCACATGCCTATCGAGGATAGAAAGGATTGGCTCAGCTGTGGTAGGGCACACTGGCTGGTGCTGCTGCTCACCAGGCTGTGGCCACACAGGAGTCCCAGGCTCGATTCCCAGCCCACCCTCAAAGCAGGGCACACTGGTGTGCACCCGTAGCCGCAGCCACTTTTAGGAGACTGAGGCAGGAGGGTTGACATATAGTGAGACTCTGTCTAAAATTTTAAAAAAGAATGGATTGAAAAAACAACCATGGTATGTTCCCATAGTACAATACCATTCTGTAGTAAACAGAGTATGATTACATGCCATGACATACACGAATCACAAAAATATGACACTGCCTGAAAGAAGCCATTCACAGAAGTGGACATATTTATATATTATATAATATATATTTATATATATTAAAAATAAGCAAAACTGGGACCAGCAGGTGGCATGGTGGTTAAGGCGCTGGACTCCCACATGGCTGACCACAGTTTAGATCCCAGACCTGGTGGCTTCTTTTTCTCACTCTCCCTTCTCTCTCTCAGTCTCTCTCTGGTCAAATTAAAAAAAAAAAATGGTAATAAATAAAATTAAATAATTTTAAGTGCTGGTAAGACACTGTGTTTTTGACCTGGAGTGCTTGTACTCAAGTGTAGTTAGTTTGTGAAAAGTTTGTGCTATTTTCTATATATTTAAACAACCATTAAATGTAAATAGGAATTTTTTAAATTGCCTTTGGAAACTGGGACCAATAGCGGTAATTGGCTTATACTTAGGGGTCATATTTTACCAAAAATGAACAACTAAAACGTTGTTATCACTAAGCACACGCAGTTGAGCAGGATGTGTGTACTCGGAAACACACACTAGTTCAAGCCCAGCCACCGGCCCTCAGACTGCAATCGCCCTCTCAGAGTGCGGAAGGCAGAACTGCCTTTTGCTCTCGTAGATTTCCTTTTCTTTCTTGTTCTTTTTTGCTGAGCATGCAGTACAAAACTTGAATAAGTGAAATATGCTGTTTTCCCAACAAATTAACAGCTTGTTGAAAACACTCTTGGTAAAAAACAGTCTCTCCCTTTGCAAAAAATTATCTAAGTGTTTCTACAACTCTAAAAATACTATCCCTCCTAAATCCACTTCCTCTTGCAAGTGCCAGCTTTAACTGGCCAAGGGTCACAAAAGCGCCACTCATCGCGAGCAGCACTCTCACCCTGAGTGTGGTAAGTTATTTGCAGACCTGTCTTCCCACTGCATTGTGAATTCCAAGGGTCGGATTGTATATCCTCTCTCCCTGGGACTTAGCACAAGCTCTTGTCGAATGAATGGATGCTAGTAGGTGAAATGCATATTTATTTTTTTAAAAGACAAGGGAAATTTGTGACCCAGCTGCAGTAGTGCAGGCAGTAGCAGCACCACAGGGTTCAGGTTCAGTAGCAGGCACACATGGGTTCAGAGTCTGAGCTGACCTGAAACATGCCAGGCACTCGCCCAAGGTTCTGACCAGCTGGAGGGCTGGGGAAAGGGGAAAGTGTCATGATAACACCCTGACAGGGAGGAGGCTCTCTCTGTTTCTGTCTCTCTCATTCTCTTACTCACTGTCTCGTGAAATAAACAAACTTTAAAAAGACAAGGTAAAAATCTTTAAAACTAGTTATAATGGTGAATCAGTATGAAGATGAGATAAAGGATGTAGGGTAAACTGGGGCTATGTATGAAAGTATTTGGGAACAGTCACTGGAAACATGAGGGCCCTGTGGTTTGGGAACAAAATGTTGGGGGGACGCATCAACACTCCCTATCAGGATCCCCTGAAGCTGCCACTCGGAAGGATTTGCTGATGGAGGATGGGGAGGACACAGAGCACTCACCGAAGAATCAGTGACTACAAGAGAATGCAGATTGAGTCCTATGTTCCACTCAGGCCATGAGGACCCTGTGCTGTGTATGCCGATCTGACATTCATATTACTCCCACCCTCTGAGTTCCTGGAATCAGAAACTCTTTGGGAGTCGGCAGGTGGCATGGTGGTTAAGGACACTGGACTCCCACATGGCCAACCATGGTTCGAGTCCTGGATCTGACGGCTTGCTTTCTCTTTTTCTCTCTCTCCTCCTCTGATCAAATTAAAATAAATCAAGTTAAATAAAATAATTTTAAAAAATAAAGAAACTCTTAAGGTGTTATAGGTGGAGATGGAGATCCAAACCTCTCATTTATGGAAGAAGGAACTAAGGTAAAGAAAAGGCCTTGTCAGCTACCTGAGGCAGGCAGGACCCACAGGCCTTCTGGATCTACTGCCCTATGCCCTTTCTAATCTCCACATGGAATAAGCACTCTCTCTTTAGAAACTGGCAGACTTGGAAAGTGCAGACGGTCGGGCTATTCTCTGGTTGTCAGGGGTCAGTCTCCCCTAGGAGACCATCCACTCCCCGAGGGCAGGACTATGTCTTGTTCACTGTTTCATTGCCCAGATGTGCCTCCTGCCTGCCACACTTGTGGAATGAATGAATACACCAAGTGCAGACACAGGAGAGGATCCAAGTCACAGGCGGCCCCGTTCTTGCACAGAAGGCTTTCACGAGGGACCCCTGAAATGTAATGAACTCCTACCACATTTGCCCTGAAGATGATTCCTTGTTCCTCACGCTGGGAAAGGAGACGTCAAGAATGTCGGAAGTTTAAAGGCTATTAAATACTCGGTCAGGCCAGGTCACATCTGCAATGCTTTAAGCTGGGCCAGCTGTGGGAGTGGGTGGAGCAGACTTCATGGCAACAACGAAAAGAGAAACATGTGCTCCACTGGGGGAAATGTACTGTGGCCTCTGCCGTCACCCTCCACATGCAGTGACAGTGGTTTCAGGCACGTTCTAGTCTTTTCCACTTCCACAGCCCTTTTCCAAGTGGCCCCAGTGATTTCTCCCAGGCTCAGCTCCCTTTCTGAGAGTGGTGTGATGCTGGGGTCCTCTGCATGGGTGGACGTAGGGCTCCAGAGGGTAGATCGCTCACCAGCATCTCCTAAAGAGCACAGGGCCACAAGGCCAGACTCCCTTGGGAGGATTTGGTGACTTCTCAAAAAGAAGAACGTGGCGCAAAAAATAAAACAAAATAAATTTAAAAATTAAACATCAAAAAGTTGAACATTTCACACTGTGGAAGCCGCATACAATAGACTCGATTCTTTAAGGCATTAAGTGAAACATACCCTTTCCAGTTTGCTCTCTCCTCAGTCTGGCCAAATACCACAGCCATTTCATCTGTTATATATGTTCCAACCAAAATCTTTTCCGAACATCCCCACAGATCATTTGCCAGCACGCTAGGGGAGGTAAAGGCCAACACCCACACTCGGTCATGTGTTGCGTGACTCATGAAATCTGCCACAAACTGCTCAGACGGTAGGGTGACACAGAAAGGCAAACAGTCTGGATAGAGCGGAGACTGGACCCCAGCCAGAAAGAGGAGTAGGTGAAAGGATAATCAGAGCTACCAGGCCTCTACTGCGGCCAAAGCTCACACCCAGACACACCAGGTTCAAATCCAGGACACGTGGAGGGAGCTGGACGTCTGGCCCTGGGCCTTCTCTTAGCCAGGAAGACATGGCAAGCAAGAGGGTACTCTGAAGCAAAAAGCCACGCCATCTTTTCCTTTCTGCCCTCACACACCACTCAACACGCTTCTGACACCAGGTGTTCAGGGCAGTTCTCTACTGGACACCAGCTGGGCGGCCTCTAATCCAATTCATTTCTAACACTGTCTATCTGGAGATGGCATCGAATCCCACAGGTTAAGGGCTCCGTCCCACAAGACTGTCCCTCCACTTGAGACACTAATCACAAGTAGTAGGCTGTCACCTATGCTTCTAAGCAACCAGCTACAAACTGGGGTTCCCATGACCCCCTCCTTGCATTTAGTTAATGTGTTAAGAGGGCTCACAGAACTTAGGGAAACACTTTACCTATATTTACCAGTTTATTTATTTATTTTTAAGAATTATTTACTTAATTTTATTTATTCATTCATTTATTTTAATTTGACCAGAGAAAGACAGACACACAAAAAAGGAATGTGAGAAAGTAAGTCACCAGGTCCAAATGTGGTCGGCCATGTGAGAAGGTCCAGGGCCTTAACCATCATGCCACCTGCTGGCCTTATTTACGTTTATTAATAAAGGATATTACAAAGGTTCTACATTAACCATCAGGTGAAGAAGTGTATAGAGCAAGGCCTATGGGAAGGGGTATGGAGCTTCCGTGCCTTCTCCCGGACCACCACCTTCCAGGAACTTCCAAGAGCTCAGCAATCCAGAAGTTCTCCCAATCTAGGTCTTTTGAGTTTTTTATGGAGGTTTTCTTACTTAGGCATAATTTATTAAATTGGCCATTGGTGATCAATTCAACTTTCAGCCCCTCCTCTCTCCCAGGAGATCAGGAGATGGAACCAAAAGTTCCAACCCTCTAATTATATGGTTGGTTCCCCTGGCAGCCAGCTCCATTCTTGAGGCTATGTGGAGGTCCATTAAGAGTCACTGCACAGGGACCAGCAGTTAGCATAATGGCTATGTTGCTGGACTTCCACGTAGTTGACCGTGGTTCGCATCCCGGACCCGGTGGCTTAAACTCACGCCGGGCACGTGTGCGTGAATGCCCAAGATCCCGAGAGGAGAATGGAGGAAAAGGGATTGTGGCATGGTCATCCCCCCTGGGGGGGTGATTTCTCGCTTTCTGTCTCTCTGTCTCTGTCTGTCTGGCGAGCGCACACACCCTATAGCAAAAACCTCTCAAAAAAAAAAAAAAAAAAGAGTCACTGCACAAAAGAATAATGCTCCTATCACCAGGAAATTACAAAGGTCTTAGGAAAACTCTGTGTCAGGAACCAGGGTCAAAATCCAAGTACAAAAGAGTCTCCCAGTGCCCCTCTGTCTACAAGGGTTTTAGGAGCTTAATGTCTGGAACCAGAGGGAGAGACCAAGGTATATATGCTTCTTATTATATCACAATATTACAGGCATTAACATATAGCACCAACATATCTCCAACATGGCTTCAACCGCCAGACTTTGCAAATCCTTGCACTTCACATTTTTATATTTAGTATAGCTGTGTTAAATTTTGGCTGAAGAGGGGACAGAAGTAAGGCATTAACGGGACCAGCAGTTAGCGTAATGGCTATGTTGCTGGACTTCCATGTAGTCGACTGCAGTTCGCGTCCTGGACCTGGTGGCTTAAACTCACGCTGGGCACATGTGCATGTGTGTCCAAGATCCCGAGAGGAGAATGGAGGAGAAGGGATTGTGGCATGGCCATTCCCCGAGTGGTGATTTCTCACTTTCTATCTCTCTCTCTGTCTGTCTGTCTGTCTGGTGAGCGCACGCGCCCTATAGCAAAAACCTTTCACCAAAAAAGAAAAGGCATTAACAAGGGCACAACCTTTTGGAACAATGGACATGTTCAATATCTTGATGGTGGTGATTTCACAGGTATAAACGTGTCAACACTTACCAAATTCGCACTTCAAATCTATACAGTTTACTGTATATAAATTATGGATCAGTAAAACTTTTAAAAAGTTGCTGCTGAATTAGAATAGTTATTGCTGGTAGTATTCTAGTAATTGTTCCTTTTTAAGAGTTGGGTTTCAAATGCTCATTTGTAAGGCATCTACTTCATTTCTGAACATGCTTTCTTACAGGAGCCAGTTTAACTGCTTAGAATATAGAATCAAGCTATAGTATTAGGGTTCCACAGTTTCAAAGAAGAGTCACCCCAGGTCTCAAATGTAGCTACAGGGAGGCAGGTAAAGAAGGGATTGCGGCATGTCCATTCTCCATGGGAAGTGTTTTCACACTTGCTCCCTCTGTCTCTCTCTGTCTTTCTCTGATGAACACAAGCACCCTCTGGCCAAAACAGGACATTCAGCAAACTAGGCCCCACTCAAGCTTACCATCTCTTTAAGAACTCCCTCAGGACCAGCAGTTAACGTAATGGCTATGTCGCTGGACTCCCACGTAGTTGACTGTGGTTCACGTCCCGGACCCGGTGGCTTAAAACACACCGGGTGCATGTGTGTGCGTGCCCAAGATCCCGAGAGGAGCACAGAGGAGAAGTGATTGCGACGTGGCCATCCCCCCGGGGGGGTTATTTCTCGCTTTCTGTCACTCTGTCTCTCTCTGTCTGGTGAGCGCACGCGCCCAATAGCAAAAATCTCTCAGGAAAAAAAGAAAGAAAGAAAGAAAACAACTCCCTCCATACATCACACTTCAGAAGACCTGTAGTGCCCACATAACCAAGAACACGTGTTCTCCCTCCTCCTGAAATGCAAACCAAACTACTCACTGAAGAAATTTAAGAACCACTCACAACGCATTGGGAAACCCTGCCTCACTGGGTTCTGGGTCTGAGGTGGCCAGTGGATCGGGTGAGGATTTAAGACCAGAGATCAGAAAAGAGGATGTTCATATGTGGGGAATAGGTAGGAGGGGAGAGAGAAGTCTTTCCTGTCTCTCAGCCGGAAGTTTCAGGAGTGAGGAGGTATGACAGCCACGAGAGGCAGAGGACTCTTACCTACAACAGAAGGTGGGAGAAGGGGGATGGCAAACTAGCCCCAAATCCTCACTGCTGCCCGACCCACTGCCCTGAGGACACGGAGACTCTGGGAGACCGAGCTCAGGGCTGGTCATACCGTAGTCTAGCAGCTCCTGGTCTGACTGAGCAGTACCTGGTAACGGGGCCACAGCAGCTGGTGAATAAAGTCAACACCAGAAAAGGCAGGGCTTTTGTGGTGTCCGTTGTACTTGTCAGTGTTTATTTTTAATTAAAAAACATTATTTTTATTGCCAGAGGGCAGGCGTGTACACTTGAGGGGGGCAGAGAAATCCCCCAGTCGGGCATGGTCACACAGCAATCCATTTCTCGTTCCCATCAGGATTTTGTGTTTTTCAAAGCAACTGGGACCAAGATTTGAACCATGGTTGGCCATGTGGGATCTGCTCCTAACACGCAGTACAAGGTGGGGTTCCAAATATTCGCCTGTAAATCAGTCACTGTTAGGAAAGCAAGATGATTTCCTCACAGATACGTGATGGTCAGTGGTCAGTTAGGACCCCTGGCTAGTCCGTGGAAACCTCTTTTACCCAAAGTTCAGGGCTACTAGTGTCCCTAAATCATACTTAGTCTACGTATAACTTTAACAGGAAGATGCACTCTGAATTCTGACTTGGGAATTACCTCGCCCCTGGAGGGGGTGAGCGGCACTGGAAGGCAGGGGCGGCTGCAGGTACACAGCCCCCAGCACAGGGAATTGAGCTTGCCACCTTCCTGAGAGAAGGCAGGCCTGAGGCAAGTACTTCTCGGACTATCATCGACTGTGGGAAAGCAGGACGGGGAGGAGAAAGGTTTGGGAGGTGATGCCTTAGATAACTGATTGACTTCGGGTGTAGACATGGCTGCTAAGCCCCAACAATAACCATGGCACTTACTGTGTTACCAAGTTCAAGTGAAGAGTTAAACAGTACAGGCCCACTCAAGGCCCCTCTGAAAGGACTTGATTACAGTCAGACGCTGAGTGTGTAGACAAAACTCCCATTGCTGACTGTCCTCTGATTCTTCTCTGCCACGTCAGTCTGCAGCTTTCTGCTGAGCTCCATGACCTTAAGGAATCCCACTGCCCTGCCCACAGGGGGTAAGCTCAGTGTGCTCACTTTCACTTCTCAGTGTGTCAGCTGTGGCTAGAGATGCTCTGTCTGCCTCCCTCGGGGACTCCGGCCTGGGGTGGGTGAAAACACTGTGACCCACCAAACTTGAGCACATTGGAGCCACTGGCCTGCATCTAACAGAGCCTATCGCTGGGTCCCTGGGATCAGCCATGGTGAGGGTCAGCATCGCAGAGGTGAGCAGAAGAGGGAGGGACACATCAAAGATGACCTTCTCCACCCTGACCTCGAACGAATGAAGAGGATGCCTAACTCAAGGGGACAGCGCAGCGGAGTCAAGGACACCAGCAGGCATGCTGCCCACCTGAGCCCTGGGGGAGAGACCGTGGCGGCGGTGGGGAGAGACGGTGACGGCGGTGGGGAGAGCCGTCCGTGACTTACATTGTATGCATTGATGATCAGTTGAATAATATTCTTGGAGTCTCCATGCAAAATCTCTACTGTTGTTCCAGGTATCAGGGCTGTAAAATTCTTTAAAAAAAAAAAGTACAGGGAGTAAGTCCATTTTGCCCTATGATCCAACACAGAGTGAACACTGCTAGCAAAGGTAGGCAAGTACTGATAGTAGGCAAGTACAATGTCTTGGAGATCCCTCTGCCCTGGCAGGAAATGGCCATCTGCCAAGGTCGACATATTCTTGACGATTTTCTTGCCATTTCTCTCCAGGTCTACACAGGTACTCCCAGGCTCAGCTTCATGGATGCACTTCATCAGTTCAGCTTTTCCAGGTGTCTCAAATACAGCCTCTGTTCAGAGGACCAAATGGTACCCTCCCAATGACTCTGAATATCTCTAAGGGATGTCCTATGACAGGGCAGCTGTGAAGGCTTTGCTTTCCTTCTCTCACCTGTCCTGACTATGTCACTTACAATGTGACAGAAGCACCCACAGTCCTCAGCCTGCCATGGAACAGATGAGCCTCCTCCCTGAGCAAGATGTGTTTGGTTCTGAGGAAGGATGGCTCACGCCAAGGTGGACTTCCTCCTCTCACACATCCGAAGGCCTGGCATAATCTGTGCAACTCATCCCTCTAAAAGTGTTATCTGCAGACGACCAGGCTTTATCCTGCTATCTCCCGCTAAACAAAATCCTTTCCCCTTGTTTTCCTCTTCTAAAATGGATTCAGAGCGAAAGAAGATAAAGAACTGTAGGATGCAGGTTGTGTTTTATCAGTGATCATCTCAGGCAGAAGCAAGAGAAAAACACAGTCAGACGAAGGCTCTTTTGTGGATGTTTAAGAGGAGTAAGGAGATGGAACCAGGGCCAGCTGTTCTGGAGGGCGAGGTGGGGGTCGGGAAGGATTCCTGATTAGGTTTCCTTGAGCTCTCCACTTACAGGATGTCAGAGGTGAGCCGGGCTTCACACTTAGCTTACATGTGCACGAGCTGGTTCAGAACCTGACACACCTGGGACCCTGGGATTTAGTACCATATTCAGCTTTTCTCAGGATAACGTTTAATACCGTGTGTTTAAATTACTTGTAAAGGTATCCACTGCTATGTGAATACCTAACAGTTTCCTTAATACTATTATTTTCCAGGGCCAGCAGGTAGTGTGGTGGTTAAGGTGCTAGACTCCCACATGGTCGACTGCGGTTCAAGTCCCGGCCGTGGTGGCTTGAAAATCACGACAAGCAAGCGTGTATGCATGCCCAAAATCCTAGGAGGAGAACAGAAGAGAAGGCACTGTGTCATGGCCATCCCCCATGGGGGTGATCGGTGATTTCTCACTTTCCTTCTTACAGTCTCTCAAGTATTTTCTACTAGATCCAATATATAGGGCTATCCTCCATACCCTCTGTTTCGCCCCTCCCCATGTTCTAATTCCCATGCCCCTTACAGTCGGGCTGGCCCCCAGAATCATGTCACCAGAGACTCCGTCTCCCTGCAGGCATACCTTATAGAGCGCGTAATGGTTTTTCGTCACTGCAAAGATGAGGTTGATGTTGTTCTCTGCCAATTTCTCTCCAAGCAAGGCAAGGGATGGGTAGTCCTAGAGCCAAGGCAAACGTCAAGACGGTCACTTTTCTGACAGGCTGAGAGGCCAGCATCTGGCCCCGACACACACTCAGTACTCGCCACGAAAAGCACTTTCACTCGGGGCAGTCCTTCCTGCACCGTCCTGACTGAGGACCCTCAAGGAGGGGAGCCCTGGCACCCACCATACTGGATCCACTCCTCCCCTAGAGTGGAGAAGCAACAAGGGTGGTTCGGTACCCCGCCGTGTCTCCTCCATCCTCTCGGGGATGCAGAACGCGGAGGCTCTGAGGAGAGCAGCTGCCGCACCCTGCCGTCTGCCATCAGCACTGGTCGTGGTTCTTCCCTGACTGTTTTCCTTTTCCTGTGCCTTATGGGTAGGCCTGCCGACAGTGTCTGCTCTGGCTCAGAACGGACCACGGTGTTGGGGAGTGCAGACGCGGAGAGGCAGCTGAACAACATCCTTAGGCGTTCAGGGCTAAAGGTAAGCACCGTGGGCCTCACCAGGTGAGGTCCTACAGCTACCAGTCCTTTCTCCTGACTCCACTATGCCTGGATAATAAGGACGGCGTGGACACTGACCGCCTCTGGCAACTGCAGTAAATGGGCTCGCTCAGGAAAGAAAGCTGGGAACGGTTCCTCTCTGGCCAAATGGCAGCCTGGATTTGGGGAAGAAGAGGGTGCAGATTGGGGGTGGGGGGAATTGCACAGTACATGTGGCAAGATCTTGATGACTGTTGGGTCTGGGTAATAGATACGTAGGCGTTCATTTTACCACCTTGTCTATTATATGTGTTTGACGTTTTTGCATAAACTCTTAAACTGCATAGTTGTGGCCTCAGACTGTTGGGAGTGGAAGGTCCCTGGGGGCTCCCTTTCCATGCAGGACACCTGCTGCCCACTCCTGACACTGATGGGAACCCTCTGTTCCAGAGAACCCATTTCTAGAAGGCAAAAAGTCTTGACCAGTGGCTTCTACCCCAGTAGTCACCAGCCCCCTCTAAGATCACCTCTGCCCTCTCTCCCCTGGGTCATACCCCCCCACACACACTGAGATACACAATGGCAGCAAGATGAACCAGCTATGGAGATCCCTGTGAAGTGTTTTAAGTGGACTGGGAGTTCTGGACACCCAGCTGAAGAAAACAGAACAATGAAACCCAACCCCAAGAATGGCTCAGAAAGCTGGTGAGTTCTGAAGGTCAGAGGAAGGCTTCAGAGGCTGGGTGAGCATGCGGACCATGGGAGGGTCACCAACCATCTGATCGGACGCAGTGTACTCATTGGCCTCATTCAGGTGGCACTGGCCATCATGCGGCTGCACCAGGCCCCCCAGTTTTCCATCCAGTGCGATGTGGGGCACGTCATCCGTTGTGAACACCAGCAAGTGCAGCGCATCCTTCCGCCAGCCAATCTTCTCCTGAAAGACAGAGTGGGCAGGTACAGCCTCTCTGCCCCAACCTGGCCTGCCCTGAGGCATCAGATGAGGCGCTGGCATCTCCAGGGCTCTGAAGCAGAGGCGTTCCCCTGCTATGTGCACTGGGCACACTCATAGGACGACGAAGGAGGGGTCCCACTGAGGCACAGAAGGGACACAGCCTGGACCAGGGAGGCCTAGATGCATGGGGACAGCAAACCCCCAGCCTCTCCAGAGAGCCCGTGTGCCAGAAGGCCCCTGCTTCTTGGGACCGTACCTGAGGTTACTCCTGCACACTTCCCTTCAGCCCCACCTCTGATGCCTTCCCCAGAACAACCTAACCCACCCCAACCTCCTTAGCCACATACTCTGGCTGGCTGGCTTGTCCTAGGCAATGGGGAAGTGAATATTTCAGACCCCCATTAGCCATGAACTGCTCAGAAAGCAAGACTGAAACGACCGACTAAGGGCCCTTTCTGTGAGGCTCTGGAAAACCTGCACTCTACTCTGATAGCTGTAAACGACTCCAATAGTGAACTGAACCACTTGGCTGTTACAGTCAATCAGCTCAGTTCTCCCTTTATTGCTTCGCTATATGGAATGTACCCAGTCTTCAGATGGAGGCACGGCCACAGTATCTATGCAGCTAGTGCGGCCCCAACACCACGCAAAAGCCACTCCTGGTCATTATTATGAAAAGCAGCTAAATCTTTTTTTTTTTTTAATCACTATACCACCTGCTGACCCCTCACCCCTCATATTTTTTTCTTTTTTTTAATCTTTTTTTTTATTTTAAATTTATTCATTTTCTACATTAATTCACTATACACCATCACAACACACAAATGAATTTTCCATCCAAAATACACTGTGCATTGGCTCAATCAAGCACATCAACATACATGTTCTCAGCAAATAATTTTCCAATTCTTATGTCCTGCATACCTTGCCTTTTGTTTTGCCATCCCTGATTCCCCATCCCTCACCCTCTGCCATGTCCCATCCTTCTCCCACATTGTCCCTGGCATCCACGGTTGCTCTCCATGCCTTCCCCCCCCCCCTTCATACATGATGCACAAGTTCCCCATCCCCCACCCTCTGGTATGTCCCATCCTCCTCCCCCATTGTCCCTGGCATCCATGGTTGCCCTCCATGCCTCCCCCCCGCCATTCAATTGTTCTGCCAATGAACTTAATTAGTCTAAATATATCCAACAGCTAGCACAGCTGACACATACCTATACATGAACCCAAGTCTGACTTTAGGCATAACCCCAGTGAGTAGAATGAACATACTATAAAGTAGTACCCAGCTGGGCCCATACAGCTCGAAAAGCAGCTAAATCTTGATACAGAGCAACAAAAACTGGGATATGATCACCTTCCACTAATGATAAAAGGGCATCCTGTAATGTGCTGGTAGCAGAGTGAATATATGAAGGATTTAAAAACTGCTAAGGCGCCAGATGGTGGTGGCCCGATAAAGGATGGTGCTCTGTGAGGCATTCCTACACGGGAAGGTTCCCAGTTCAAATCCAGAGGTGTCTCTGAGTATGCCAGGCATGACCATGGTGTCAAGACCCTGTTAGAAGTGCTCATGCATGCACACGTGCTCTCTGTCTCTCTCAGTCATGGACAAAATAAATAAACTTTTAAAAATTCTGAGAGTGAGCAAGGGATGGTACGGAGGTTAAGGCACTGGATCCGACATGGCTGACTATACAGTTCCAGTCCCTAACCCTGGGGGCTTGAAAATCGCACCAGGAGTCCATGTGGTCACAAGGAGGCTTCCAAGGTGCTACTGATGTTGTCTCCTGACCTGGTATTTTGATTTGTGAACACTTACTGAGACGCACTCCTATGTAGTTTTCTAAGTGCATACTATTTTTTGATTAAGAGCTTAAAACGGACCAACTAATGGCATGGGGTTAATACAGCTAGAGCCCACATGGCCAGTGGCAGGGCTTCAGTCCCATTGGTTTGAAAATACATCAGGTACGTGTGTGTATGCCCCAAATCCCAAAAGCAGGGAAAAGTAGAGGAGAAGGAATTGCTGCATGGCCATCCTTCATTGTGTGTGTGTGTGTGTGTGTGTGTGTGTGTGTGTGTGTGCTTTCTCACTTTTCTTCTCTCTCTCTGGCCAATTAAAAAAAAAAGTTAAAAAAATGAATAAAGCAATGCCTTATAAGCCATGGAATGTGGAAGGGAGGGGCTCGGGTGATAAAGCATAATCAAGAGAGAATGTAAACCAACAGGGCTTTTTACAGGAGAAATTTAGACCTATTATCCACAAAGGTACAGCTATGTGCTCAACTCCCAAGCAAGAAAGGAGAAGACCAATCTTTACAGAAACAAAGGGTATCAAGAATTGTAAAGACAACCAGAGACTGCAGCAAATGGACTCTCGTGATGGAAGGGCCAGTGTTGTTGAGATGCCACTTCTCCAGACTGACGTACAGATTTGACATAGCAATAATCAGAAGCCCAGAGGCCTTCCTGAGAAATGGCAAGCTGTTTCCAAAATTTACATGGAATTTAGGACTAGCAGTTGGCATAATGGCTATGTCGCTGGACTCCCACGTGGTCAACTGCAGTTCAAGTCCCGGACCCAGAGCCTTAAACTCACGTTGGGCGTGTGTGTGTGTGTGCCCAAGATCCCAAGAGGAGAATGGAGGAGAAGGGATTGCGGCGTGGCCATCCCCCTTGGGGGTGAATTCTCACTTTCTGTCTCTCTGTCTCTCTCTGTCTTTCTGGCGAGCGCACATGCCCTACAGCAAAAACTTCTTAAAGAAAATTTATATGGAATTAGGAACAATAGAGACTAGACACACTATTTTGACAAGGAAGAACAAAATTGGAGAGCTCATTACCCAAGGCAAAGATTTGATTATGAAGCTGCAGAAATCAGGATGGTGTTATCCTGAGAAAAAGCTAGATAGGCAGATCAGAGGAAAGGAAGCCAGAAGTAGACTTACACATACACAGTCTATACTAGAACGATTGAACATCCATGTGCAAAAAGCATGGTATATAAAAATTAACCCAAGTATATCACAGACCTAAAACTAAATCTAAAGCTATAAAACTTCTGAAGAAAAGGTATGAGAAAATCTTTGTGATTTTGGTACAGGCAAAGACTTCTAACATAAGATAATCCTTAGGATAAAATAAGGATAAATTGGACTTCACCAAAATGAAAAACTTCTGCTCATTAAAAGACAGTATTTAGGGCCAGCTGGTGGTTAAGGTGGCTGGATCCCACATGGCTGTGTGGTTTGAGTCCTGGACCCAGCAGCTTGAAAAACATGCCAGGCACTTGTATATGCTCAAAATTTGAAAAGGAGAAACGGAGAAGCGATTGTAGCATGACCATCCACCATGGAGGGTGCTTTCTCACTTTCTCTCTCTCCCCCTCTCTTTCTCTTTCTATATCTCTCTCCAACGAGGACATGCATCCTCTGGCAAAATTAGAAGGAAAAAAAAAAAAAAGAGAGAGAAAGAAAGGAAAGCAACAGAGAAAAAGAGAGAGAGAGAAAGAGGGGAAGGAAGACAACATTTTAAAAATCAAATGACAAGGCATCGATTGGAGAAAAGAATTGTAAAAAATAGAAATCTGTTAAAAGACAGATTTGTATCCAGAATATTAATAAAACTTTCATAGATTAATAAGAAAATAGGCCAGCAGTGGTGTTGCAGCATGAATGCAGCACTCCATGGTACTTAGGCCACACAGGGAGGTCCTGGGTTTGTGTCCCAAGGTCTCCTTGTGCACACAGGACACACACACATACACACACACATATTATCCTGGCTGGCTGAGGCTGGGGGTGGATTGTAGTGTGGGAACCCTCCTGAAAGTACCTGTCTCTTTGAAATAAGAAAAATTTTAAAAACAGTAGGAAAAAAAAAAATCAAACCACTGAATTTAAAAAGTAGTCAAGTGATTAGAAGAGGTAATTTACAAAGAGAGAGAGATGGACAGAAATAAGCACATGAAAGGATCCTCAACATAATTTCCCCCCCAGTTTTTTGTCACAGGGCACATGTGTTCGCCCGAGAGAGAGACAGACAGAGAGAGGGAAAGTAAGAAATCATCCTTCAAGGGGGATGGCCATGCCACAACTCCTCCTCCAATCTCCTCTTGGGACTTTGGACACATGCACATGTGCCCTGTGTGATTCTCAAGCCACCAAATCCAGGACTCTAACTGCAGTTGGCCATGTGGGAGTCCAGTGCTTTAACCACCATGCCACCTGCTGCTCCCACCGCCAATCCTTATTATTATTAGCATTAAAGAAATGCAGCCACCATGAGATAGCCATTACATAGCTGTTAGGATGGCGAACAAATAAACGCTGATAATGCTAGTAAAAAGTGTTATTAGTGGCCCAGCAGGCAGCTGGATTCCACATGGACAACTGCATGGTTTGAGTTCCAGACCCAGTGACTTGAAAAAACATGACAGGCACATGTGTGCATGCCCAAAATCTAAGAGTGGAGGGGAAGGTATGTAATGTAGCCAGCCCCACAGGAAAAGGGCAGAGTTGTTTTCTAACTTTCCCTCTCCTTCTCTGTCTCTCTTAGATGGGTGCACAGGCCCTATAGTACAATTTTTTTAAAAAAGATATTATTAGAACTCTCATAGTTACTGAAATGTTATAAAGAGAATATACATTATCAGTCCAGCAATCCCATTCTTTGTTATTTATCCAAGAGAAATAAAAATTCATGCTTATATAAAAACCTCTGAGCAAATATTTATAACAACTTGATTCATAATCACCAAAAAATAGAAACCACTAAATGTCTATCAAGTAGTACGTAGCTACATCGTAGTATATCCGTACAATGGAATACTACTCAGCAATAAAAAGGAAACCTCTGATATGTGCACGACAAGGATAAATCTCAAAAGCATCATGTTAAGTGAAAAAAGCCTAACTCAAAAGGCAACTTCCTATCTAATTCCATCCCAATTATATGCTATTCAGGAAAAGATAGAAA